GAGGGGATGAATTGACGGTAAAAGTTTGCAAAACCCAGGAAACTTTGTAGTTGTTTTCTTGTGCGGGGTGGTGCCCAGTCTAATACTGCTCTGACCTTCTCTGGGTCCATTTCAATGCCCTGTGGGGATATGCGATACCCTAGGTAGTCTATCTTTTCCTGGTGGAATTCGCATTTCGAGAGTTTGGCATATAGGTGGGTGGCTCGCAGTTTCTTTAAAACTGCTCTGACTAGGTTGACATGTTCCTCTTTTGATTCGGAGAAGATAAGAATGTCATCTAAGTAAACACAAGCTGTTCCACTGGTTAATTGTTCTCACTGTTAGGCCTTAATTCCAGGTTGCTTCTCTCCTTGATTAGTTTCCAACCAATGTTTCTTGTCCTGCCCTCTGGTGCTTTGGAAAATAAATTGACCCCCTCCTCTTTGTGGCAGCCCCTCAAATATTGGAACACTGCTATCATATCACCCCTAGTTCTTCTTTTCTCTAGACTAGTCAAACTCAAATCCTACAGCTGTTCTTTAGTCTCCGGGCCTTTGATCATCTTAGTTTCTTGATGTCAATGCTGCTAACATTGGATGTTCCCATCGCTAAGTTGAGTGATAGACTGACAAAGATTCGGAGAAGATCTCAACATGGAGAAGGGAGAAGTGCCTGAAACCAGCATCCTGGCCATAGCTGCCGCCTCAGCGGAGGGAGCTTAAGCCAGCGCACCAGCGGAGAAGGAATCTTCTCAGGCCTTACAGCTGGGGGGCAAGACCCAAAACACGGGATCTGATCTGATCATTGGAGTGGACCCTGCCCAGTGGAGACTCCAAGCACATCAAGGCGACCCTGTCAAAAGCAAGTTCTTCGAAAGCAACCGAAGTTGATTTGCAAGAAGGAACCTCTCGGGAGGCGCGTTCCCTGGACCACTGGAGAATCAGGAAATCAGCAATTACTGAGGACTGTGGAGAGTGGAAGTATCTGTCCGCAGTCCTTAGCCAATTGGTGGAGAAGTTGGTGGAGAAGTTCGAGGGGCTAGAGATGAGGAGTGAGGAGCAACCCTCTCATTCTTTGCATGCAAGTGATCACGATGATCGGCGGAGCAGATGCCAATCCATGCCCAGCCACACCTATGGAACACAAGCGGCTTCCCCGTCCTCGAAGCCACCAACATTAACCTCTAGCCCTGCACTCTGAACATGGCAGCCCAAGGTGTTGTCATTCCTCCAGAGCTCCAGAGCGCTGCTCACGACACAAGAGCCCGAGCCACCACTGGGGCCGCTGAAGTCCAGATTGCCACAGGTACCATGAAAGCCCTGACTGTCACTACTATTGGTCACACAGCCTGGTGCATCGGCACCACCCGAGCCCAAGGCATATGCAGGGGGAAGACTCAGATGTGAACATTCAACATGATATAATGCAACAGCTGTTGACTGGGCAGCAACAGGTGGGAGAGCTGCAGCTGTTGGGGCCCCTGCAGCAATTGGGGATGCCACAGCCACTGCTGCTGGGAGGTCAGCAAGAGGTGGGAGTGCCGCAGCCGTTTGGGCCCCTGCAGCAATTAGGGATGCCACAGCCACCACTGCTGGGAGGTCAGCAACAGGTGGGAGCGCTGCAGCAGTGAGGCTGGCATCAGCCCCTGAATGTGCAACACCTGCTGGGAGGCCTGCATCAACTGGGGAAACCGCAGCCACTGGCGGGAAGTCAGCTACAGATGGGAGCGTAGCAGCAGTGGGGTTGGCAGCAACCCCTGAATTTGCAGCAACCACTGGGGGGCCTGCAGCAACTGGGAATGCTGCAGCAACCTCCGCTGGGACTGCTGAGAGGCCTGCAGCAACTGGGGATGCCACAGCTGCCACCAGGAGGTCAGCAGCCATTGGGAGTGCAGCAGCAGTGGGCGTGGCAACAGCCCCTAAATGTGCAACAACTGTTAGGGGGCCTGCAGCAACTAGGGATGCCGCAGCCACCACCGCTGGGAGGTCAGCAGCCACTGGGGATGCAACAGCCACAGCAGGGAAGCCAGCAACTGCTGGGAATGCAGCCACACTAGGGGGAGCAGCAGCCCATGATGGCGCCACCCCTTAGAGCGACTTTTGACAGTGACCCAGAGAAGCTGATC